CCCAATCCAGGGACTGGGAGTTTCCCTTTGGATGAGCCTACTGCAAAACTGTAATGCTCAGATTCAGGGCATCAAGGCTTGTACATGCTAAGCTTCACTTTTCCACCAAAACCTGATGGTCTGGAAATTACTTTAAAATCTTAGAGCTTAAATTATAGGGAAATAAACAAGTCTGAAAAGTGATTAACCCTGCCGTTTTCTAATGGTAGGAAAATGAGCTGGGTGAATTAAATCATAGCCAGTGTCTCTGTGAATTACAAGGACTGGCTGGTGCAGCTTCCACTAATGAAACCATCACCTCAATGTGAGATTAAAGTAGGCTTGAGCACTTCTTTGCTTTAAAATCAAAATAAATCACAGGTGGCCTGGTCTTCTCCACTGTTTTCTGCTTTCGGATTTTATTTGTGATGGTCTCTTAGCACAAAACATTGCAGTTGACCAATATTGCCAGCATATATATCCCTATCCACCAATTTCAAGGCAGTTGACTTGCAGTGACAGTGTGGAAAATTAAGTGAAGGTCCAAATATTCATTTCTGTATTTCTGTTTTATTTGAATAGGAAAGAGATGTCATTTCTTATCTGTAAACAGTATTTCTCAATTCCTTGTTTTGGTAGAGGTAAAGTTATAAGTCCCTAAATATTTTGAAATACTTGCCCTTTAGATACTGAAAGATGATTAATCTTGCTCCCTAAGGACTAATTACAGATGTGGTATTAGTACCATACTGTCACATTATTGTATTGCAGAGGTACAGGAGACAGGATTTAGATGTTGCTTGGTTTGAGTATAAAATTGGGAGTCAGTCATCACTGGATATTAAACAGAGACTTGAATGAGAGCAGGAACTTGAAAAGGGAATTGTTTCCATGATAGCTCCTTCATCAGTTATCAACAACATCAAAAGCCTTATTGAAGTAAGGGAATGCACGGTGCAATGCCTTCCCCTTGTCTGCCAAGCCACTCATGAGACTGTACAAAGTTGTTGTGTTGGTCAGGCATGACCTCCTCTTGGTGAAGCCATGCTGATTCCTCCCAGTCTTGTCCTTCAAGTGCCTAGAAATGGTTTCCAAAGTCACTTTCCTAGATACTGAGGTGAGGCTGAGCAGCCAGTTGTTCCCTGGGTCTTCCTTCTTGCCCCTGAAGATAGGAGTGACACAAGAGTATACTTAAAGTAAAAGGTTGGAAGGACAGCAGTGGAAAATTAAACAATAAAGGATTATTGTATCCCAGTTACCTGTCATCTACATGATTGCTAAAATTTATAGTCCCCACACTGGATCTGAATAATGGATGTGTCCCTGCTCCTCTGCTGAAAAGATGTGCTTTATAGGTGAAAATATTTGTGAGAGGTTACAAGGTTAATTCTTTATTTGTCTCCTTA